ATGAGGTTGGTGTGGAGAATTGTGCACTGGGGATGTGTGTATAGACATTATGGCTGAAGCAGATCTTTATAAGCATTCCCATAATCAAGTTTTGGTTTAATCCCTTGTAGTCATGATAGAGCTCTTGTAATGTTGTGCTTGCTTCTCCCTTTAGGAGATTGCTATCTTTGCCTGAGGCTTCAACTTGAGATGTGTTTTCCATCAGAGCACCCAGTTTAGCTTGAAGCACTGGTTCTTACACAGTTTATTTGTCCTTGGGCATTTTAGCTTATCTTAGAGATAAGGGTTGATAGTCCAGGAAGTAATGAAGTATGCCAGGTCAGCTACCACTGTAACAAGAGTTAGAACTGACCTGACACCAGGAGCACATCTTTTCATCCACACCTTTTAGTTTCTCCACATTTGATTATTTTACTCAGAAGAGAAACTATCTGGTTTCCTCTGACTTTTTTTATCCTTCCTTTACTCTTTTCTGTAAGAAGTAACCCGCATCTGTTTCTTACTAGTCATTTGATGTGCACTTCTAACAGAGAAAATGCTTTCCTTTTCGGAGCATTTCCTCTGATTTGTTATTCATACTGTGATACTTCTCTTAAATGCTTTCCAAGATGTTAAATCTGGGTGTTTATCAAAAGCAAAACCCAAACACTTTATTTATCTGAATACTGTTAGCTGTTGAACAGGAATGTCAAGACGAAATGATGATGAGTTTTTATTAACATTAATAGGTTTATAAAGGATTAATCTAGCTAGATATGTTCAATTTTTAAAGTAGTTTAAATATGGAGCTTAGGTGATCCAGCTAAATCAGAAGAACAGATGCTTTTGTTAAATAATAAATAAAAATAAAAATAAAAGAACCACCTTCTCTACTAAACACCAAACTATGATATTACACTATGAGTATGTTAGATATTAAATGGCCTAATTACCCTTAAAGTTTTGCAAAATGAACGCAGGCTTTGCTGGATGACAACATTTTCAGAGAGAGAGTGAGTTTGAAGCAGCAGAAGCTGACATCACTCCCAGGTGTTAGCAGGAAACGCCAGAGGTGTCCCTTGCTTGCCTGTAGGTACTGATATTGGAAAGATGAATGCTGATTCCGAGTCAAGGTTGCTTTGTAATCTCCCTACCTGGTTTTATGTGATGCTTTTCTTTCTTTTCTTTTTCAGGGGGCAGGGAATGTTAAATGTAAGTCAGATTTTTACTTTTTTTTTTAGTAATATGCTTTTTCTTTAGAAAGAATAACCACAAAGTCGTGTTTGTTCAGACTCAGTGGAAAAAAACCCCAAAATCTTCCTAACCCACCAGTACCAAAATTCTTTCTCCAGAACTACATCCTCTTTGCCCATCCTCTTTGCTCTTTGAGGCAAACCCAGGACTGCTTCTCTCCATCTTGATCTGCTACACACACAGTTTGCTAGTCATTTCTTTTCCATTTTCTTTAGTTAATTCTTGCTCAGGTCTTGCCATATGGCCAGCAGCCTTTCCAGTTTTTTGTTACTCTGCATAAAAGGGGCTTAATGTACTTTACTTAGATTTTTTTTTTAATGTACTCTTTCACACTTTAAGCGATTTATTATGTAGATAAACTTAACACATTGCATGTTTTGCATATATGTAAAGTTTCATCAGGTATATCCCGGGTTGCTTAGTGTCTGTCACGAATGTTTTCAATGTGAGTTCATCTTGTAGCATTAGGAATGTACATTACTGAGAGATTGCCTAGTGCCTTTGTACTGGTAATTCTTAGGGTCCATTTCCCTTTTTGTGGCAATCACTTGGACAGTCACCCATTCCCTGCAGGTCCTGGTATCGTCTGAACAGTTGCTGGCTCTGCCTGCTTGTTCCAAAATGTCTTTAGTTGGGTAGTTGGGTTTACCTTTATTATCTTGGCATAGTAGTTTGAGCATAAAAATGGCAAGGTGACATCAGGGTTTATTTTTGGGGCTGGCTGGGGTAAATTTTCTACCTGCAAGCATTCATTCATGTAGGGTGTGTAAGGATGCATGCGTGCGTCCCAGCAGGTTCTCAGAAGCTTTATTCACAGTTGTGGTGGAGCATCGGGATTGAGCATCTGAAAGAAATGTAATTGCTACTTATATTGGAGAAACAAACACAGTTTTAGGGGGTTCTTTTGTTGAACATCTGGGAAATAACAAGAAGAGTAAAATCAATACAGGTGGTGATAAAACTTGAATTACTGCAGTTAAGCGTACACGACATGTTAGTACTAAGACATAATCTTGCCAGAAGACACAGGTGAATGGATTCATTTAAAATGAGCAGAAACTGTTTCTGCTCAGTTGTTGAATGTGTTTTTTTCCTTAACATTAATACATGAAATTGTCATCTCTCTTTTTCCTTTTTTTTTTTTTTTTTTCCCTAGTGTGTTGTTTATTTTATGTATTTTGGAAAGTCTCCTGGTTAGCATGCTGGATATATCCCCAAACACTCAAAGAAACATTAAACATATACAGCAAATTGTTGCAGTTTAGAAGTGGGACAAGGACAAAGGGAAAGAAAAAATACGTAAGATCTGAACTTAAAAGTTCTACATGAGTTTATCCCACTAGGGGAGGATTATGTGGCACAAGAGCTTCTGAGTACCTGGCTAACTGTGTTATTTCAAAGTGAGCTCTGTACCTGACCTGCAGAGCTGATGAGGAGAAGGGGCACCGGTGTTTGTATGAGGTCCAGCCATTGTCAACTGGGAGCAATAATTTCCTAAACTGTTGCCACCTAATAAACAGATCTGTCTGCGCTCTGAAGCAGCTCCTGTAAGACTCTTTGTAACTGATTTTTAGTATTTTCTTTTCAAATAAATGTTTATACATATCCACTCTGTGGGTTGTGTTATTGATTACAATATGACTTGTTATTGCTGAGAAGGATTTATTTCTCTAAACAAATAGAATTGAACAATCTCTCCCATTTTACCTAATCCATATCCTTACAAAGTGGATTTCTCCCTTTCTCCTCACCGTATCTCCTCCAGGAATTACGTGGGGTTTTTTTCCAGTTTAGAAAGCTTAAAAATCCACCAAACTTTTTAAAAAATAATTCGTTAAATATATAAAAATATGTGTCTGCTACTGTAAGTAGGCTAATAGGTGAAGATTTTCACATATTCTGGTCATGGTTCTGGGCAAAACCGTCTATGGGTAGACCTGGTTGAGGAGCCGGGTTGGACCAGACGAGTTCCAGAGGTCCCTGCCAACCTCACCTTTTCTGCAATCCTATTATTAATATATGGATAAATAGTATTAAAATTTGTAACAGCTGATGTGAAGAATGTCTGTAATCTGTCTAGAAAGCTTCAACTCTAGCCCTTCTTCACAGGATAACATGTAGGTGAAGACACAGTTTAGCTTTAGAGAGTAACATAGTTAAAGATATGATTTAGTTCTAGAGATTTCCTTCAGAAACTGAGTTCACTAGCATTTGGCTGAAAAATAACTGAGTAACTGAGGCAAATAGGCAAATAGCATATTCATAAGAATATTGAAGAAGCCTCTAGATGCCTGAATATTTTATGTAATTTGAAAACACCTCTGGAATAGCAACTGAAATGTGGGAATTACAAAGTAGACCAGAAATGAAGGATTGCAGATGTATTATTTCATCTTACAGATCTACTGCAGAAGATGGCCTGTACTGGAAAGCTGCTTATTCAGAGTTTTACCCTAATATTTCAATGCACAATTCTAAGCTTATTTTCAGATTAGGATATGTAATTGTATACCAGTCAATTTCTGATCATTATTATGGTATCAGAATGGTTCTTCACAGAATCACAGAATGGTAGGGGTCAGAAGGGACCTTTGGAAATCATCTAGTCCAACCTCCCTGCCAAAGCAGGTTCACCCAGAGCAGGTTGGACAGGAATGTATCCAGGTGGGTTTTCATTCAGTCTGTCCTCTTGAAACAAAGAATATTTTTATTCCCATTTTACAAGTGGGAAATTAAGGCAATGAATTACTTAGTATCAGAAGTATTTGTGAATTTCCACTGTATCTGGCTTTATATGCAATTTCACTTTAAAAACGTTGACTTCAGCTGCAGCTGTAATGCTGAATACTTCTGCAAGTCAGATCCTAAGATCTCAACAGAAGCACCAGAAAATGAGAAATATGTAAATAATGGCCAAATGTGAAAAAACACTGAAGGAAGTTACTAAGGAACTTGTCCGTTACCTTTTAGTGATCCCGTGTTGTCAGATGTGGAATCACTCACTCCAGTTAGCTCTGCACATGGCGGTAGAAGGAGCCTCTGGAAGGGAAATAATTGCTTTAAATAGTCATGAAACTGCAGCTTTCTGAGAGGAAAGAAGTAACTCCATATCACACTGTGAATGTCAGAGGAATTTTGTGATTATTTGGGGGTTTTGTTTTTGGGTTCCCCCCCCCCCCCCTTTTTTTTTTTTATTTCCACAAAGTCTATCTGTTCCTTAATGGAAGACACTGAAGCCTTACATCTAGTGGCAGATATTTTTCTTCTTGGCGTAATCTGTGTCAACTTAATTGTTGGATTTTTTTTTTCCAGTTCTCTTTATTAGTGCTCTTCAAAATAAATCTCCAGTCTGATGCTGAAATAGTTGAAGTAATGAATTTTAATTCCATTAGTTGTCACTGGGGAAAAAAATGCACTTCTTACGAACTGTTTACTTACTGTCTTTTCATTGCTTTTTTTCATGATGAAGCAGCAAAGTGTGGTATCAGAACATTTACTACTGTAATGTTAAAGCATGGCAGTGACGTAAATAGAGCTTACACAGAATAGCTTTCCAGACATATAGAATGGTAAGAGTCAGATATTCAAACTAGCATAAAAACACTTGATGTATTTTATGAAAAGGTTTATTTAAAAATAGTAAATATATCCTTTTTGAGAGTCTGATGGGGAGGGTAGTGGAAGTATTCTTTTTAATAATTCTACATAATGATGATAACTTACAGAGCTAAGTTGTTAACATTGTGGTTTTATGTTTCTTTTGATAGCCCACATACTGGGTGGCAGGATTACAACCCTGCTGTGCCCCGGATTCCCACTGCTTGCATCTCTGTGGAAGATGCTGAAATGATGTCACGGATGTCCTTACGGGGAACTAAGATTGTTGTGCACCTGAAGATGGGGGCTAAAACCTATCCAGACTCTCCTTCCTTTAACACCGTGGCAGAGATCGTTGGAAGCAAGTACCCAGAGCAGGTGAGTGAGAATATACAAAAAGAAACTAATTTTGTCCTTTAAAAATATGAAAAAACAAAACCGATGAAATCTCTCAAATGAGTAACTCTTATTCACCTACTCTTCTACATTTCAAACAAGTTGGCTTTTCAGTCTTTTTCAGGTACCAGATTTGAGACCTCCATACTCACTTCTAGAGTGTTTTAAATAACAAATAGTAAGTTAAGGTTGCTGCAATGATTTGTACTTGAGGTTTGCTTGTTCTGTTAATAATCTTCAAGTGGTTTCTTGATCAGGCAAATTCTGCTCTCTGGAAATAAAATTGTTTGCTTTTTTCCTCAAATGTAAAAGTGAATGCAGGATGTCAGTTTTACTTTTTTGAAGATGTTTTTTCTTGTGCAAAATCATTGCTGCGTTTAGCAGGAATTGAACATGTGTTAGTTTGGAAGAATAAACCATCAAAAAGCTGTCTGCAAATTCTGTTTGAACACTAGCTAATCCGTAATTGTTGGTTTCCATTTTAAGACTTCTTGCTTTCTCTTTTCTTCCAACTTCTTAGCTAAAAATCATACAACCTGAATTTGTGGTGCTGAAGGATTTGGACCTGGTACGAGGTCTTTGTCAGCTTACGACATGGAATGATTTCTCTGTCAGTATAGTTAATTGTGAAAATGCTGGTGAAGCCTCAATTACAGCAGCACTAGAAATTGCTGCTAGAGTTCATCTACTGAGCCACGATTCTTTTTTTAAACACTGTCGTTCTCTAACTTCAATGAAAAATAAGAATGACTGTCCCTGTCCTTTAAACTAAGCATAGCTCTGAAAAGATTTTCTGAGGGGGTAGTTCTGTAGCTCTGGCTTGTGATGTCTAGAGACCTTCAGTGTCAGCATGAATGTACAGTTTCAGAAGCCACTGGCCAGGGAAAAGTAACTGCCCTCGTAGTTGACTGGTTTACATACCATCACCTATGAGTCTAGCTTCATGAAACACATTTTTATCAAATTAAATACAATGCCTCAATTTCTAAATTAGGGTACAATTAACTTTGTCATGTGAATTTTTAGCCATGCTTCTAACCAGCTAATGGGCTATCTTTCCTGAATTACTTTTGGTGTATTTCAAAATTCCACATTTCAATTCAGGTTACGAAATGTCCAAATGTATCCTTCAAAGCTGTGTAAAGGTGCTTGCCTGCACTTGATTTTCTCTTTGCTGTCCTGCTCTGCTTCTTTAAGTAGTGAAATGGGTTGGGATCTCTCCACTTCTTCCACTGAGAAGCTCAGTTTTTTGAAACACTGGGTAAAGACTTATTTACAAACCCCCTGCTGATGTTAATGGGAGTGGTAGTGGACACACTTTCAAAATGTAACCAAGAAACAGAAAAATAAAACAAGTGAATGTTTAGGTTTTTTAGTCCTTAGTTCCTCTTGGAGCCTTAATGGGAGCTTCACCACGCTCATTCCACTGCGTTACTCTGGTAAAAATGGGAACCATCTAGCTATTTAGGCAATAAAATACGTTGCAGACCCAAACTCTTACAATGCCCTTTATGCCAAAGTGTTTCAAAATGCAGTACAAATCCAGGGGAATAGAAAGGTACCATTTCCACGCGCCAGAATTTCAATTTAAGTTTTGAATTGAAACAAAAGCAAATCTGGATCTCTGAACTCTGGGTGAGAAATCAGCAGCGGGTGGTATTGCTCTTACAAAGGTCTAAAGCAAAACAGTCTGAAATTAGGCTGAAGCCTGTGAAACATAACTAGTCACAGGTATTTCAGCAAATTATAACTTAAGAAATGGAAATTAAATTGAAAATGAGGGTCACTGTAGGATACTGAAGAATTCTGGCGGGAACTGATGGAGTTCTAGATGTAACTGCATGTTAGGCATGTTTGTGTTCATCTGTATATTGACCAGAATTTGATACACTACTTGATTTATAAATAATTCATTAATTCCTCCTGTGAGAGTTTAGCATGTTTATTAAAAATAATCGCCAAGAACTGAGATAATATTTGTCTGAAAATTTTATCTGTTACAAGCATTGTTGAATATCGTTATTAAAATCCTTTAAAGGAGAAAACTATTTATTTCTTTGTCTTACCTTTTTCTTTTCTTTGAGTGCTCTTGTAGCATGTCCAGTTCAGTTCCTCCTTTTTCAGTCATTTTTCCAAGTGTTTTGTGTGGATTCTTTATAGCAATGGGGTGGGGGGGGGAAGTAAATCTAGAAAAATGTAAAGGGAAACAGAAGAAAAAGTTGTTGAAATGCTTCTGACAGCTTCCTAACAGTCAGCTGTATTTTAGACTTAGTGTTCTTAAAGTCTTTTAATACATGCTTTGTTTTTCTCTTGCAAGAAATGTTTGATACCATCAAAACTGATGCTCAGAACTGTCAAACTTGCAAACCTTTGTTTAGTCACCTCTGCTTAACTTCAACACATTTATGTTTCTGAGTAAGGTAAAGTGGTTAAAGAAATGTAATTACTGCTTTGTGCAGCATCAGGCTCTCGGGGATGCATTCATTTTCAGAAGTGATGATGTGACACGGGTGCAGATGTCCTGTTGCTTTTTGAGGCAGCTCTGCACCCAAGGCACGCAGGTGGCTTTTGGAAAGTTAACCCACTGATACTTCAAGTTTTCTGTTCTGCTTTATCCTTTCTCTTTGGCCAGCCAGTAGCAGTCAGCAAATGCTTTAGCATCAATTGCTCCAACTACCAAAAATGTTCTTTGAAACCTACAGTAAGTCACAACTTTGCACTGCCAAGTTTTCAGGTGATGTGGAAAGCATCTGAACAGAAAAAGGAAATGGATTTTGTCATGCTGTCAGTAAAGTTCAGTGTCTCACCAATGTCTCTGTTCTGTTTATCTTTGTGTTATTCCTTCTAAGTTAGGGAAGGGCTGCTCTTTCCAGACAGGATGCTTGCTAATGTCAGGGCAGGCATGACCATGTGTGTTGAGCAGAGACATCCACCGTCCTTACTGTCAGTCCCAAGGTCCTCGTTCAGTGCTGGCTGAGGCCTGAATATCTGTAGGTACCCAAAGGAGGCAAGCCTATGCCTATAAGATAATGAGTTCAAGATGAAGCTTTCCTTCATATAAACAGATTGGAAGCAGTGGGCCCAAACATGCTATGACTTGATGTCCTGGCAGTCTTTCCGAGCTAAGGATCCCATTCTCACGGTGCTCAAGGACAGCAGCAAGAGTGGAAAACCTGTGGGTTGTGGGACTTAACATATTTAAGCCTGTATGACTGCTGACAGTTGAGCCAAAGAGTTTGTGAAATAAGAAAGGTGTGGTAGCAAAACCTGCTGAGGTCCAGGCTATCGCAGGCTAGAGACATTTGCATTCCATTCCTGACTTTTAGCTTGGAGAAGGAGTTTTTGAAGCCCAGTGTTGAACCTGCGACCATGCTGTTAGCATCCTTTTCTATTGTATTGCGTGTTGGTGAGATGTTTTATTTAAACTATGTAAGTTGACACTGGAGACTGACTGCCTGAGAAATTCACAAGTTAACTAATGTGGTTTTCATTTGAAATTCAGGCAGAGCTGGCAGTAAAACATGTTTGTCTTCTCATTTTAATACAGTTGTAACATGATTGGTCTTAAAGTGCAGAAGCAACCGTTCCCATCTCTGGGGAAATGCTATAAATAGCGGCTGTTTCTTGTTAGTCTGGCTTCACTGTACCTAATGTGCCAAACACAGAACCACAAAATACTTGATTAACTGAAAAGGTATCAAAGTGGATAAAGATAAAACTCTTCCATAATCCTGACTTTCAGCGTCTTTCCGTGCTGTATATTTCTTGGTGTGCAGGGCTGTTTTACTTATCTCACAGTTACTAAGTGATGGGAAAACTGTTTCCTAAGTGCCCTACAAAGTACATAAATTTAATGGTTGCTCATTATTCTATGATCTAGCATAAATACTGTAGCACAGAAACAGAGGAGTTCATAAGTGGCTTTTTTGGAATCCTGAAGAGCTGTTCCAGGAATTCACTCTATACAGCTTTTTTGCCTCCTGTTTTTATGGAGTGCCATATCTACAAAATGTACCATTTCAAAAGTGACTCTGTTTTGAACACCACAGGCATAAAAGACCGTTGAAGAATGTGCTGTAGCTCTGAGCCAAGTTTGGACAGCACTTTGAAAGTAGCAGTCCTAGGAATGACCTGAGAAACAGAGATGCTAAGGTAATAGATTGTGAAGTTCTTTACCCGTCTGTGACTGATGTAACAGAACCTGTTCTACAAAGGAAATAGCGGCTTATTTATTTTTTCATTCTTTTTCCTTTCCCTATTTCAAAAATCAGCCCTCTTTCGGAATTTGTGATACTGGGCAAAGCTCCAGGGAACAAGAGAACATTAAAACTGTCCAGGCTTCTGAGCCTGTTAGGCATTCATGCACATAAGGGAACAAATAATTTGTAGACCAAAAAGAAAAAAAACCAACAACCCAACCCCAGGGAAAAAAAAAAAAGACTTCTCTGAAGATGTGTAATACTCAGTACAATGTTGTTTTATGGTCTGGCATCAGTTCTACATATGTTAACAAAATGTCTATCCATTAGCTCTTTGATGTGGCTTCCAGATATCCCTATGCTCAAACTAAATCATGCATACAATAGAGCTTTGAGTAGAAACGTTTTAAGAGTCTGGTGCCATCACGTTATGGCTCCATTATCACATTTTCTCCATGTGGATTGTTTTGCTATTCAATCCAAAATGTTGAAGGATTTGTAAATGCACTTCTGTGAACCTCTCTTCTGGGACTGTAAGCTGATGCCTGTGACGCCTAAAATTTAAGAGAATTTAAAAGAACTTAAGAGCTAATGATGGAGATTGGGTTTTGAGAGTGCCAGCCCATTACTTCATGATAGCAAACTGATGGGAAAGAAGAAGAGGAGAAAGGGTGAAAAAGAAACAAGAGACAGGGTGAAGAAGGAACACTGTCATTTTTTAGGAAACGTATTTTCTTTGAAGTTTTTGTATCAATATTTGCAGAAAGAAGTAGTACCCTCTCT